ATACCATCCCAGCGGATTAAAAGTTGAGAAATCCAATGATCCCCAACCTTAATAGTTCTTGCGTCCATGATCTCCTGCGGCTGTATGATAGGGCCTTCTGGTTCTGATAATAAAGGGAGAGGCACATAGGGTGTAATGTCCGGTCCTTCAAATCTTTTCAAGGCAGATACGTGAAACACCGGATGAATCCTAGCTGCCGGAGGCAATTGTAGTTGATAAGCAACAGAACCAATCTTTTTGGTCACAGGAAACGGACCAAAATACCGCATGGCTAGTTTGTGATGCTTCCTTAAAACCACGGAATGTTGTCGGTAGGGCTGTAATTTGACCAAGACTAGGTCACCGATCTCAAAGTGAACTTCAGTTCGCTTGCGGTCTGCAAACTTCTTCATACGGTGCTGGGCTTTTGATAAGTGGTGTCTCAGTTGAATCAACAACTGATCCCGAAACAGTAAATTGGAAGCTAAATCAGCATGCACTTCAGTAGAGGGAGCCGAAGGCAGTAACGAGGGTGGATCTCGCCCATACACGGCTTTAAAAGGCGTCATGGCAATTGCTGTATGAAAAGCAGTATTATATGAAAATTCTGCCCAAGGCAAAAAATCAACCCAGCGACGTGGGCAGTCAAACACAAAGCAACGAAGATACATTTCTAAGCATTTGTTGAGAATCTCTGACTGGCCATCTGTTTGAGGATGATAAGCGGAACTCATACGAAGTTCTGTCCCATGTAACTTCATGAGTTGGCCCCAAAAAGAACTCATACGAAGTTCTGTCCCATGTACTAAGGGAAGTGCCGTAATGAAATCCATGGCAATATCATCCCAAATATTATTGGGAATGGGTAATGGGGATAGCAACCCAGCTGGATGCGTTTGGAGGGCCTTAGCCTGTTGACAAATCACACAACGACGCACAAAATCTTTGATATCCTGTCGCATAGAACGCCAATAAAAATGAGTGGCGACTCTATGAAAAGTCCTCAAAACCCCTGCATGTCCCCCAATAGGAGAGGAGTGAAATTCAAGCAACAGCTTATGTATTATTTCAGAACAATCAGGAGGAAGGACCAAACGGCCTTTCCAATACAGCAAAGACCCACTGACTTCATAACCAACCATGGAAGTAGGGTCTGATTGAACTTTCTGTACCAAGCCCTGAATATAAGAAGATGCCCCCAACATAGGTAACAATTCAGCGAGAAAAGTGGAAGAAATGTGTAGCATTGACATATACGTAACACGAGATAAGGAATCAGCAGCCAAATTTGATTTACCCGGTCGATATTCAATTGTAAAATCATATCCCAGTAGCTTTGGAAGGTGAGCTTCCTGTTCTGGGGTCTGAATAGTTTGCCCATTCAAATGCTTGAGGCTCTCTTGGTCAGTGCGAATAATAAAACGGTGGCCAAATAAATAATGACGGAATTTGGCCACTGCTTGCGTGATGGCATATAACTCGCGCACATAAGCCGATTGTGCTTGCATCCTATTCGACAATTGTTTAGAAAAATATGCAATAGGGTGACCATTTTGACTCAACACGGCACCAACACCAGAACCCGATGCATCAGTCTCCAATATAAAAGGATGAGCGAAGTCCGGTAATGCTAACGTAGGAGCATGTGTAAGAGCCAGCTTAAGTTGATCAAAGGCCTGTTGAGCTTCTGTGGTCCAAACAAACGCATCTTTTTGTAATAATCTATTTAAAGGTCCAGCAAGTTGAGCATAATGTTTAATAAAACGCCTATAATAACCAGATAAACCCAAAAATCCTCTCAGCTGTGTAACAGACGAAGGAATAGGCCATTGTGTGACCGCCTGGACTTTGGACCCATCCATTTCAACCCCAGCTGCTGAAATAATATGCCCTAGATACTCCACTCGGTTGCTCCCAAAAGAGCACTTGGAAAGTTTAACAAACAAATGATGATCAACCATCAATTGCAAAACCGTCTGAACATGTTGTAAATGTTGGGACCATGAGGCGCTGTATATCAGGATATCATCAAAGAAGATTAACACAAATTTCCGCAAAAAAGGTTGAAAAACAGAATTCATGAGGGCCTGGAATGTGGCAGGAGCATTTGTAAGACCAAACGGCATAACAAGCCATTCATATAACCCTTGATGCGTACGAAAAGCCGTTTTTGCTCGGTCTACAGGACTCATCATAATCTGATGATAACCCGAGCGTAGGTCTAATTTAGAATAGAAAACAAAGCCCCCCAATTCATCCAATAATTCATCAACTGTAGGCATAGGAAAAGAATCTTTTAAAGTTACCGCATTAAGAGCTCGGTAGTCCACACAGAAGCGCCACGTACCATCTTTCTTTTTAACCAAAATTACTGGCGCAGAGAAAGGGCTGGTACTGGGTTGAATAAGACCCTCTTGGAGCAGCTCAACAATCATCCGTTCAATTTGATCCTTTTGACTAAAAGGATATCGGTAAGGTCGCACTTTCACTGGCTGATCTCCATTAGTCAAGATAATGCGATGTTCATGTCCTCTGCTCGGAGGTAACCCAGTGGGTTTATCAAAGACTGTCCAATATTGTTGCAGCAAGTTCTTCATATCATCATGAATATCATTGGGCATACTTTGAGAAGGTACTGGATCAGGGGACGTAGCAAGTGTCATTAAGAAGAGCTCAGCAATAGCATCCGTACGCACCAACCTCTGTAACTGGTGAAACTCAGCTCGAGATACAGGAGGATGAGATAGACCATGTAGTGTAACAAATTCTCCATTGTTAAAAAATTTGATGCGAGGACTACCAATCGTATAGTCTGCTACATGCGGACCAAGAGTGGCTAACCAAGATGCACCAATCACCACATCAGACCCCGCAATAGGTAATACATAAGCTGGAAGAGTAATCGTATGCCCCTGAATCTGCAATGGAACGGCTCGAACGATACCTTCACCCGTCATGGCATACCCATCACCTATCATGACACGGATGTTGTGGACTAGTTCCACTGGGAGACGCAGATGATTAACGACCCTGGGATGGATAAAACTATCGGTACTACCACCATCAAGGAGCACCTGTACGGCCGACCCACAAATAGCACCCTGAAAACGAATGGTGGCGGTACCACGGTGGCCTTGAAAAGCATGGAGTGAGAGATGGTGAATGGTTGGCGCATCGTCGTGTGGTTCAGCCTCCAACACTGACGCGGACTCCGTAGTTGAAGGGGAATCTGACTCTTCACAAAACATGACCATGAACTGCTTGTTAGCACAACGGTGAGCCGGTGAAAACTTCTCATCGCACGTATAACACAGACCTTTCTCTCTTCGGATAGCCATCTCTGCTGCTGTCATTTTCTTAATCTGTGCAACTGGTTTCATGGCTGGCGTAGGTAGCAACGCCGCCTGAGAGCTCTTCGTGGATGAAGCTGATGATGAGAAACCGGAGAAGGGTTTAGAGAAAGCAGAGCCGCGACTTGAACCAGTGGTGTTCGGTTTAGGGGGCCCATCAAAGGGGCCCACAGATGTGTCAAACAATTTGGCCAGCTCTGTAGCTCGTAACAAGTTAATTGGTTTTTGGGCCATAACGTCCTTCCGCAAGTAAGGTTTCAAACCTCCAAAAAAACAATCCAATAAGGCTGCATCAGAGACCCCCTCTGTGCGATTTGCGAGCGCCAAAAACTCCCGGCAATACACTTCCGCTGATGAGGACTGCATGAGTTTGAACAACCTAATGCGCGGCTGATCAAACAGAGAAGGACCGTACTCATCCTCTATGGCCTTGACAAGCGATAGCCAGTTAGTAATGACACGAGTTTTCTGCAACATTTGGAACCATGGAACGACATCGCCTTCGAAACTGACAAAAGCTACCAGTACACGTTGGTTGTCCGGCGTCTCATAATAAGAGAAATACTGCTCTGCACGAAAAATCCAGATCATGGGGTCAGAACCATCGAACTTTGGGAAATCTAACTTAATCGGGCGATATGGATTCTGGTACTGTTGACTGGAGGAAGAAACTCCAATAGAGCCAGGGCCGCGATCGAGTTCACGAATGGAGGAAGAAATGCGACGAGACATTGATTCCATAGCGGCTTCCAAACTCGCAGTTGAAGCACGCCCCATAGCTTCGAGAGCACTCTGTAACTGATCCAGACGAGTATTTGTTGATGTTTCCACACGGCCTACATACTCTGACAGAGATTTGAATTCTGTCTGCAGATCCTTAAAACGAGTTACGTCCGCCATGTCCGAGTCAATGAAAGCACCAAATGTAATGCTCAAACGTAATGGCTGTAATGCAGAGCAATGTTTATTAAAGATATAGTGCAATACGGTATCTGTAATACGAAGGTACAGCCACAAATATAATGAAAAACCAGAAACTGCAGAGTATAACCGAAGGGAAGGAATGCAGAGAATGAAATAATCCAGAGAGAAGAGAAGGTCCAGAGGGAGAAACCACGATTAGCCAGTACATGCACACCCTCTCTCTTTCCTCTAACTAACTTATATTCCTCATGCGTCCCTCAACTTCCACGGCAGGCGCCTAACACGTGAACTCTTACGCATTCCGTTAATATTGCACGCTGAATCACCCTCTCTGCCTTTCTCCTTTGCCACGTCATTGTCCATACCCGCTTGCTGCTCTTCTTGTGTCATCACATACGACTTCCAATAGCAAGCACTGGTCCAAAATCTAAGATCAAGAAGGTCCCTTTGCCAGAGAGAGGGGGAGGAATTACTCTGACGAAGCAGAAAATCGGAAAGAGAATCATTATATGCATTTTTAAATTAGGGTTTATAGAAGCGTGGCCAAGGGAAATCAAGTAGATAGAGGATTTTTAATTTTTAAACTATGCGGTTTGCATTCTTTCCGTTTTTCTGGTGCAACGGGGACATAATAATAAAATGGAAAAGTCGTTACTTTAAATATTTTTTCCGGGACAGAAGAGGATATAACTGCTACTATTCATCCCATTACAACGACATTCTCCGATCCACATCAGTAGTCTCAGATAACATACAATCACTTTCCATTCCCAATAGATCATTGATGATTATTCAAAAAATTATTAAACCAGAAAAAAAGAAAATAACTTGATACCACAATCAGTTGTTCTCTGCTTCAAGAACGATTATCATAACAACCAGAGAGTTTAAATGAGCAAATATACTAACGGTAAAATGATGAAGGCTTTTGGTTCCCAACACTAACATGCAGAATTTTACACATGAATGGTTCAAAACTCAAAAGAAAGCTTTTAACCGGGCTGTCCCTTGATCCATCCTCCTCGCCATCGCCCTACCAGCTGTGTCTACCAGGCGCCTTCAACGACGCGAGCGTTTGTTGATCGATGGAGTGAGAACAAGGCCTTAAAAACGAGCACCAATCGGTCATAATATGTGCCAAATGAGGATAGAATTGTATGATTCTTTTCTTCCACGGAACATTATCCGCTTCCACCGGGCCTGGGGAGGAATCTTTTTCAGGGATTTTCCTAATGGCTTCTAAGAATCCTAATTCAAGATCAAGAGTATCAAACATGCTTATACCATGAATGCATTTATCACAGAATCTCATTACATGTTCTGTTTGCTTCCATTGACTCGTCAACAGAGAGAGTTCTTTGAATTGACTAGTCTCTGCAATAAATATCTTTGCTGTGTAAAACATCCTTAATAAATGCGTTGAGATCATTTACGGATGTTCCCCCTTCTGCAAATGCTCTTCTACAAACCTCTTGAACTTGTTTTGCTTTTCTCCTCAGCTCATCACATTCCGTACTTTCAGAATTCATAAATCTCCCTATAAGCACTGATATTTCCTCTCTCGTCACAACATTATCAACTCCTGTGCGTTCTCTTCCCCGCCATCCAACTTTCCAATCCTCTACAATTTGCTTACTGTTTGGAGTCTGATCAAAGAATATCGGGAAAGTAAGAATAGGAACACCAGCGAAAGTCGCCTCTAAAACTGAGTTCCAGCCACAATGGGACAAAAATCCCCCCACAGAAGGATGGCACAGAACCTTCAATTGTTCGCACCAAGACACAACAAGCCCTCTTGCTCCAAAATCTTGCTTCCAGTTGTCTCCGCGAGCCACCCACAAGAATCTCACACCACTTTCACGTACACCAGCGACGAGTTCATCCACCTGCTGTCTTGAAACAGAGAGAAAACTCCCTAAAGATATGTACAGAACAGAGCCTCTTGGTTGAGAATTGAGCCATTCTATGTAGTTGGGGTTCTGGCCATCTGTGTCATGGTTGTTATTCATGTCAAAGAATGGGATTGCAGGGCCGATGGAGTAGACCGGCAAAGAATATATGCTTTTAAGAATATCTATGGCTTGGGGTTCGAGGCAGTAGATGGAATTGATAAGGAGATACTGCGCTTGCTTGACTCTTGATATGCATTGCAAGGCAAGCTGCAATACTTTGTTGTCATTTCCGTGGAAAATAGTGGGTAAATCTGATATTCTTGTTGAAGAAACTCCAGGGATATTCTCCACGCGTTCTTCTCCATGCTCTGTGAGCGTCAGTCAAACGATGGCGAATCAATTTGCTGTTGTTAGTATCAAAGTTCTTTAAGTTATGGAGCCTACCTGAAAAATTAATTCCCAGATGCTCATTTTGGCGAAGGAGATGAAAGTGGAGGAACATGGAAAACACCGATGCGGAATTGGTCCATAGAGTAGCCACCGGAATATTCCATCGATTCGCAAGAGGAACAGCCCACTGGAGCTCGGCATCAGCTATAATAATTGTCACGTGCGTCTGAAGATCTTGAAGCAGAACTTCGAAGGGAGCTTCCATTTTTGTCATCACAGCCTCATAAAACCCAGGGAAGTCGGACCCACGGACTAGCTCTGACGGGAGTACGTTGGGAATTGTAGAGATCGTTATGCTGTTGAGCCTAGTTTGATCGGAGCCGATTAAGCCTTGCCACTCTTCTGTGACAACAAAGGTTATAAGAATCTCTTGCTCATTAGGTGCCCTTAGAGAAGCTAGAATTTTGCAGAGATTCATCATCGGATTGACATGTCCTCTTCCTGGATATGGCACCGCCAGCACGTGGCACGCCATAGCTGAATCCTCTTTCCCAGACCCCTAACCTTGATGTTGAGTTTCTTATGGCTTCTAAGTCTGAGGCTGAGTTTGCTTTGTTTAATGGACATTATGTTCTTCATAAATCTCACATCTTTTGAGGAAAATGGATACGAGGTGATAAGATAGTATACTTGGCCAATTTTTTAACTTTTCTTATTGTTCTCTCTCTCTCTTGAGTATTTTGTCAGACGAGTGTATATTTTTAAATAAGAACATGACCAGCTTATGATTTTTTTTTTGGTTTTTTTAATAACAACAATCATTTGCGTAAATGGTCGACTTTCTTTATATCGTTATCAGATCCGTGATAGATTCATGAGGGCCTAGTGCCTTCGCAGTAAAACTTATTGCAGGATGACGCATTTTTTGCCAATTCACTGAAGGAAAAAGAACAAGATAAGAATTATTCAATATTAACCGCAAGAGTTTATACATAAAACTCTTGTCATGGAAATACAGAACCAGTGACTGAAACTGCAAGCTCATCATCCTTATTCGACCCAACCACGCCATCACTAAATCCCTGTAAACTCCATCACCACCAGTGAAAGTCCCTTAAATTAAAAAAGGATCAAAGATTTAGACTTGGAGAAAGCCCTTGCTCTTCAAACTTTCAACAGCATCAGTGATGATTTGCTCAATAGGGGTGAACTGCATCCCTAGATTGATCAACTTCTTAGAAGCATCCTTGGCTCGGAGAAGACCAGGCTGAGTATCCTTGGGCACTTTAGCGACATTATAGTCAGGGTACAATTCAGCCACCTTTTCCACAAAATCACCGTAGTGACGAATGGCTTCCACGCACAAGTGCCTTCCAGAAGCCTCTTTATTCTCGAAGGCCAAGATGTGAGCCATGGCGACATCCTTAAAGTGCGCCATTCCCATGAAGAAGTCCTCGTATGTCTCAGTGTCCCCTGCATATATCCATCAACAGAGATCGATTGCATTATTACAATTATGATGCGAAAGCGAGTGTGGGAAAGCAGGGAAAGCTAATTAAGGATGAAAACCTTTGAGAACGCCGAGAAGGACAGCCATGCTTGAATTGAGTCTGGGCGGAATGAGAGGGCCTAAGGCGGTGCCCGGATTTATCATAACGACGTCGTACCCTGTCTCCCTCGCAAAATCCCACCCTGCTTTCTCCGCCAGCGTTTTCGCTATCGGATACCATAGCTGCATGCATTTCCCAAGTCAAACAAATCCATGTCTGGACTATTACGTGCGAGTATGACAAACATATCTTTATTTTTCAAAATAATATTTTATTTTTGGAATAATACTTTGTGGAGATGGACGATATTTTCACCCTTTTTGGGAAAAAAAAAGGTAACAATTTTTTAAAACAAGGTGAAATTTTTAGAATAAATATAATTTTTTTCCTTTTAAGTACTGTTTTTCACAGAGAAAACTTAAATACAGCCTTTTCATAATTTCAGGATTTTAATAATAAAGTACAAGACATACGATTTAATTTACAATTTTTATGGCCAAAAAATTGAATTTATTTTTTTGGCCATATATTCCTTATGTTTTATGTTCAGTTTTTTTTTTGGGACCTTATGTTTCATGTTCAGTTTAACAAAAGCAAATATGAAGAAAATACTGTTCTTTTTTTTTTTGTTTATAATAGGGTATAAATTTTGAATATCTACTCAAATCTCACCTCAAACTTAAAAATTTCATTATATTTTAGCCTACAATTTTTGAAAACAATAATGAAAAACTTAACAACAAAAATATGTTAGCAAAATTATCTTTAAACGTGCGGGTAGCAAATAACTAAGAAAAACCAAGTTTATGGATTATCAACAAAAGAACAGTGAGTTGGGAGAAAAGTCCGAGTGAGAATTAAGAATATAAAACGCTGAAGAAAAAGAGGAAAAAAGAACAAAGAAGAGAACTCACCCCCTTGCTTCTGCAGTAGTCAAGGTCACACCAACAGTCCTCGTTTTTTATCTTGTCGGAGGGCCAGTCGGGACTCGGAATAATCGCCGATATCGACGACGTCGCCACCACTCTCTCCACCCCTGCTTCTCTCGCCGCCTTCAGCACGCTCACCGTCCCTTTTGTCGCCGGCTCCACTATTTGCTTCTGCACACCCCGAGAAAAAAAATGAACGAGAAAAAAATAGCCACGTCACCAAATATCCCAATAATAAGAACAATCAAAACGAGTATGGAGTATATATATATGTAGAGTTAGTATTATTATATCTTGTACCTCTGGATCATGAACTTGACCGATGACGTTAGGACACGCCAGATGGAAGACGCCGGCGCAGCCCTTCACGGCGGCTTTGATGGAGTCTGTGTCCAGAAGATCCATCTCGAACAAACGCAGCCTACTCTTCGCTCCTTCCATCGCCTCCAAATGCTTCGTCTCATTGTCATCCTCTGTGTTCTTACATTATTAATTACTTATACTTCTACTTGTTATCTATGCAGTTCTAATATATGAACCATAACCGAAATTATACTTCAGGGGCATCACTTTCTACGTCTTTCTTATGTATGGATGCGTTTTCATTGGTACGTACGAGTGTGTGAGAGGGATCGCCGGTGGAAAATAAAGAAATGAAGTTTATATATGAAGTGCATAAAATAAAAGAGCGTAACTGAGATTTTGAACGGTGGCGTGGACGGTGTAGCCACGGTCGAGGAGGAGGCGGACGAGCCACGATCCGATGGCGCCGCTGGCTCCGGTGACACAGACAACCTTGGACATGGCGAGAAATGGAAATAAAGTACGATAACAGCGGTGGAGGAAAGTGGGGGAGTGTAGTGTTTGGTTAATTAATTGATGATGAAGGCTATAGTCGGAAAGGGGTGGGGTATATAAAGGAGGAAAAGGGAACCGAGCTGGTCGTGGGGACTGGGACTGATAATTCAACTCAGCCGCAGGGTTACGAAGGCCACATGGCGATGCCTGATAATCACTGTTGGGCCACAGGGGTGGAGGTTGCTTTCGTGATTGCAACACGTATGATGCGCTTTTTTCCTTTTCTTATAACCTTTCTTTTTTGGGTTTTGTACCCAGGAATAGCACCCCATGGCCCATTGTATTTATTTTCGTATATTTTTAATATAAAGATTAGTTAATTAATTTAAATTGATTAAATTTTTTTATTAAGTTAGTTATTTATAATGAATAAATAATTCTGAAATATTTTTACTAATTATATATATTACGTAAAACCATTATTTGATAAATTTTTTAATACATGTAATTATTATAAAATTATTTTAATAAATAAATATAAAAAATAAATTAAATTAAAATTTTATACAAATTAAAAGTTCATACATGCATTTGTTTTTTTCCCTTATTAATATAAGAAATTGGCGCTATGTGCTCGTGCACTTGTGTCAAGATATACGTGTTTGCATCACAGAAGTTTGGATCCTGCTAAACTCTGACTGTGAAAGCAGAGCCATGTGCGCGTGTGACAGGGCACTATGAGTTGATTTTGATGGTGATCACTATTTTCTTGCCGATTTTTTTTTTTGACCAGATTTTCTTGCCAATTTGCTCCAGGGTTTTATTAAAAAAATAATTACTCTTTTGATCTTTAATATAGAATATAATTATTAAATTAATGTTAATTTTAAATATAATGTGTTTTTTATTTTTATAAATTTTTTAAAATTATTTCTACAAATATTTTTTAACTATAATTAAATAAGTAAAGAATGAATGATATTGAAAAAAATGATCATGGTGTTTTTTTAAAAATATGTCATATATCTTATGGTTAACTAATTTATTTAACTTCTTTAATTTAATTAAAATAATTAAATAAGTTTTATATTAGCTAAAAATTATTAAAAAATCATGCTAGTAATAAGAAATGAATACTTGTTTTTTATATTAAAATTTGTTATCGAGTAACACTTTTTATAATTATAATTTTTGATTATAATTTTATATTAATTTTTTTATTTTTTAGAATTAATATAATATTTAGTTCTCAAAATTTTATTTCATTCTCTAAAATATTTTTTGTTCTTAAAATTTTTTCCTTCTATAAATACTAATTCTTGTCTTTGTAAGTTAAATACACTTTCAAATTTTAAATTTCAAGAAACAAAACCAAATGAAATTAAATTTTAACCAAATATTATGTTAACACTTCTTCTAATGAATGAATAATCCTTCTTCTAGCCCAAAAAAAAAACATATCAAGACTCAGAATTACTTCAAAATTCTACCAAAAATTGTTTTTAAATTCAAAAATACATAAAGGTAATAAATTAGGAGCAAATACTACTCCTCTTAAAACCTGCTTGCGGTTGTGAAAATAATGGAAAGTTGAGATCCACGCAATTATGTATTTTTATTTTTTGTAATAGATTATTTAACTAATTATTTAAAGACAAAAAAAAAAAAAAGAGAGTAAATTGGCGGAGGTGTAATTAAAGGAGCTGCATGTTCCCGAAATGTAATTTGAGGGTTGATAATGACGGGGGAAGGAAGCCTGACGAGAGAAGACTGAAGAGAATAATATCAGGGAGGGGCGAACGCAGGCCTCATACCAAGGAGAGCCAATGGGAGAGCGACTCGTATTGCCGGGTCCCTCACTGCGGGCGCCAAACCCTGAGATATTCATTCCGACACGTCCCACAATTTCTGAATCCAGTGCGAATCATTCACGAGCGATACTGACAAATACTGTGAAACAGAGGGCCCACCTGGCGTCACGTCTTCCTCCACCTGCCCCTCTCCCTAGCTGCCACGTCGCGCCTTCTTTTGATTTATCTCACGTGTTGGTCCCACACTCCTTTTTCTTGTTTCCCCCCCCTTTTCCGTGGGAGAGAGTGGAATCAGTAGAGTTTGAAATAGATTTTGGTTGTCCGAATGTATTGTTACCTCCTGTTCTAATTATAAGAGTCAGTTAATTAATTTAAAAAGATTAAAAAAATAAATTAAATTAGTTATTTGTCTTAAATAGGTATTATTTTTTCTAAAATATCCTTACTAATCGAGTGTATTAACTAGAATTATCATTGTTAGAAGGGTTATTTTGAAAAAAAATATATAAATATGAGAGACAAAATAAATTGAGGTCTTATATTTAAAACCAAAATAAAAGTCAGACACCAACGCCTCTGAATCCGTATTTCTTCATTGGTGGTATTTGGTTCAATCGAATCAACAAAATATTGTCTGCTACTACATATTTTAACTTTCTTTGTTATCATGGCACATCATCCATCCTTTTTTTGGTTTTGATAACATCATCCGTCCTTTCGAAATGTCAAAACGCCGGCCAGATGGAGAGAAGACGGACAGAGAGGGCATGTGTTGCAATTTGCAAGGAACCAACTTATTTCAGTTTTTCAAAATAAAAAAAAAATCACTCACCTAGAAAAACACTCTGATCAAGTTTAGAAAATATATATATATTTGGGTCCGATAAAAAATTCAAACGTGGTAAATGAAAGAAAATCACAAATTTGCGCGCTTATATGTGTTGGACTTTGGCGGAGGTGGCCAGTGGGACAAAGATAGAGGGACGGGGTACTGTCCGTCGTCCTTCATGGACCAGTGAAAAAGTGACACCCCATCAAACAACGAACCTATCTCCCCACTGTTGCGGCGTCACTTAAATCAGCGACCTAATGTTAATGAGTTAAAAAATTTGGTTAAATTAATTATTTATAAAATATGTATTAATTTTATAAAAATATTTTTACTAATTATATATATTAATTATAACTGTACAACAATTATTATAAGGATAATTTTGAAAAGTAAATAAATAAATATGAGAAATAAAATGGATTGAAGTATTATATTTGAGATCAAATTAGTAAATACTTATTTATCTATATTTTTAACTTTATTTCTTATATCGATTGAAAAGCTGGCGCATAGCACACTTTTTTTCTTCGTATAGCAAGACAACTTTTTTTAATCTCCAAATTTTATTATATGCGATTAATTAGTTGCAGATGACTCAATACTTGTTGGTTCTGAGAACGAGGTCTCCAAAATATCTTCTGTATTTGCACTCCTAAATGGTTTGCTGAAATTTTTTAATCATGTCAGTGATTGACTGATTGGGCAGCGTTATCCAAATGAAACCATACATATTTTATGGGACCAAGTGTTTTTATTAAGATTTTTTCAAGCATATGATTCTTTTTTTACAACGTAAGTCATTTCTTATCAGAGATAATCTTATTTAAAACACTAATTTTCATAAAATTGTGAATTTGAATATTCCATGGAAGGCGTGTGACTTATTGGGTTAAAAAATCATTTTGGATCACATGAGGGATCGTATATGGATCTGCCCCTCTCTAAGTGAATATTAAGGATCCATTTGAATGTTACGCTTTTGGGCCCCAAATATCAATCCATTACTACGCAGCAAAGGATGAACCATGTTTTCCCAATATTCACAAACACAGTCCATTTCACCCTCAGGACACAAGATTCCACGATTTAATGTATAAAATATCACGAGTTACAGATCGATACAATGAATCGGATAGCTCCAATTTATAAACATTTAAAAAATGGGAATTGGCTGCTGCAAGGGATAATACAAGTACAAGGAATCTGAGAGATATTTTTGAGAGATATTTTGGTCTCCCCTCCTCCTCCCACCCCTTACGTTCTCCATCTTTTAAAGTCTCTTCACAAAGCGACCCTACATCCTTTCAAAATATCAACAACACTGTTTTCGTTCCCCCACCCCCAAAAAAATGTAAAAGAAATAAGATAAGCAAGAAAATAAAACTGACCTTGATTCTGGGTCTTTTATCAGCATTTAGTTTTCGGACTTGGTATCTTATCTTCTTGGAGAACAGTCTGCTCTGACGCTTCTCTTTGTACCTTCTAACACTCGCATTCCTTCTGCTTCTATCTTCCTGCACCGTTGGAACTTCTCCCATCTAATTTACACATTCATTATTCTCCCTCATGTCAAATATATAAATATAAAGATAAACACACACACATATATACTGGAAGATCTGATATATCATAAATTCACGGATGAACATGTATGGAGGAATTCAAGAGAACTGACATAGCAGAAGCCATTGTTAACGTTGGAAGGCATTGAAAGAGAACAATCGTCGGCCCAGAGAGGGCCACGGTCAGACCATGCATCCAAAACCTCTTGATAGTTCAAGCTCAATTTCAAAGACGTCATCTTCTCATCGTCTTCCTCCCAGAGGCCTCCGTTTTCTCTCTTTATAATCTTGTCGTCTTCCACAAGGCATTTGCTTCTCATCCGCTTCTCCTCTTCCTCCTCATCTTCTTCTTCTCCTTCGTCATCGTCTGCTACTTCTGGTTCCTCTGCATCGACAGCTGAGAAACCCTCCAATTCCATGAAGTCCCAATTAAGCTGGCTACCATAAAGACTATTCTGTAGTTTTCTGTGGTCCTGTTCAGAGCATAAAACGCCGTCGCCCAGTTCATCCAAAACATTGAAATCATGGTTGGAGAAATCCGGTGATACGGGGAAGACATATTCGGGTACTTGTCGCTCCTCTTTCTTTGGGCTTCGTAGCAGTGAATTGTATTCCATCTTAGCTTGGTTGAGCTATCTCCGTCTATCTTTTTGTCTTCCTGTCTGGTTCTGTTCAGTGTCCTTTCACAGTAACGCACACTGTTACTTTTATTATTAGTATTACTCCCTGCGCATGTGGACTGTTTTTTTTCAGCAGTTTGTAGTTTATCCTCTTTGCTTTTGAATGGCAAGGAATGCATTTAAGAGTCAGGGACCTTTTGGTTTCTTTCCATAATTTATGTGTTATATTTTTCTTAACTTGTGATACTGATTATGAAATAAAATAGGACTTCAAATATTATTGTCTTGAACATTTTTGAATGGTCAATTGAATTTTTTTTTTCTGAATTAATTACGGTTATAAATTGAAAACCTATTGCTCATTAAGGATTTCCCACTTATGATGATGTCGAAGAAGAAACAATTGAGATTCTAGGCAAATGCCTTCGTACTAATAATTATAATCAGAGATGGGAGTGGAATGGAAGTGAAGTTTTTGTTTCACAACTAGGGGGAAAAAAATTCCCAATTGTTGTCAGTCCTGACATTATCACTATTCTTTTAAATCGGTCAAATATCAGGCAACGTAAAGAGTTTACTCTCACAGCAAGAGCATGTATGAAATCTGATCAAGTGTCAAAACTCGAACCAAAAGGAAGGATGCAATTTGATTAGCTCAAATATGACTAATCAGTGCATTTGGCTGATGTCCAGTTCATTCATCATTGATCTGCAGAAGGCTTCGTTGTTCCTGTAACTTCCGCATATTCTGTCTCTTAATTCCATTTCTAAAGGACGTGCTTGCTGGACATTGTTTTTCTTCGGAGATTGAATTCAACTTTCCCTGTTCAGATGATTTCCTTGTTAGGTACTCCGCTGCTTGCGCCTGAACTGACATTCATGAAACAATTTGCAATGAACACTCATAAAAGCACAGATTACGTAACAGGACAGTTTCAAGATAAACCTTTCAAATGAGATATTGACGAGCTTAATTCATGATATAAACACACAGAGAGAACAAGATAAAGAAAGAGAAGCTCCCTCATCTTTTAATTATCAACAGCGGTTTGCAGACGGATATACAAAATTCGAGTAACAAATAACGAAAAGGTCAAGGAACCTTGCCAAGAAAAAGATGGAAAGCATTTAGCCTGTTTCTAGATCATAACAATTATCTTTTTGTCAAGACACAGTAAGCACTTAAGCTTCCTAATATTTGAGAGATGTGCAGGACGTGTAGTGGAATTTCAGCAAAGGCATGGATCATTTATCAGATTAAAAATTCCATTTCCAGCTGTTTAGATGCATCTCTTGTTCTCATTTCTTCTGAATCTAAGACACAACTGCCCAAACCCCCCAATCGATTGATTGTAACTTTTTCCCCCTTTAACTAAGCACATGTCTACATTAGTCTGCTATGTTTGATGCAATTAAAGATGACCAAAGTAAGGTCTTTTTTTCCTTTTTAAGCACAAATTAAAATTACTTTATAAGCATAATTAGTCTTAAGCAAAATGTGCTTTCTTCAAGGCACAAAGGAAGTATTTCACAACTCAGGGTGTAGCAGTTTAAATTAATTGTGCGGTGAAATTTACATTAGCCGATGCATATTCATACAGTACAAGAATGCGTAGCATTCGTGCCAAATGGACAATCATCTCAAGACTGAGTTATTGATGCCAGCAAAGGTCCTACTCAAAGCAACCACATTATCTCCTGCAAACGTAAACCAGTCCTAGTTGTCCTCTGTAATAAGAGCACTGCAGCAACAATGCTTTCATCGACGAGCGAGGATGCTCTACAATGCAGTGCAAGCAACAATGTAGTGCTAGTATATCCCAAAATGAGTCACACTGACGCCACTGCTCCCGAAAGATTCACTTGTGTCAAAGAATAAAAACAAGGATCTTCACAAGAAATCGTTACATAAATTTAGGAGATACCAGAGCTCGAAGCGACAGATTTCATTGCACGGTTCCTCAGCCTCGTAATCGTCCTAATTGCTTCAGCATTTTCAGAAAATCCTTCTATCCCAGGCTCCAGCATATCGTTCTTCCCAATGCACAATAATGCATGTTGACATGCCTAATTCTCAAACAGGAAAGTAGTTGCTGATGGGGAAGCACTCAAAAAAGACTAACTCGGGTTTAAAACCGAGAGACAGAATCAAAACTATTTCCTGTTTTTTAACATCCTATATAGAAGTTACTATAAAGATGAATGAAACTGCAAATGTACAACTGTAGTACGATTCTGAATGCAGGCAGGTGAGTTTGCGAATATAAACTACCCACATAACACCTACATACCTTCTCTGCAATGGAATGGAAACCGTTATGCAGCGCGTCTTCCACAAAATTTAACCATTCCACAGGCGAGACATCTAGCCATTGACAACTGGCAGACTTGAGTGTTCTCATGAGCAGAGCCTCGTATCTCAAAGCTAAGCAACTCTAAGGCGTAGGGAAACACAATGTTGCTAATTAGTTACATAAGAGCACTTGCTTTTAAATACTATATCAGAAGCGATAACTGCATCTAAAGGTATACCTAGAAACAGAAAAAGTCTGCAGGCGGCAGTACAAGTCAAGTTCATTTATGACAGCAGAAGAACAAAATAATAGAAGTACCTCTACATCGCCGACGATAGCGAAAGCTCGAACGAAAAAATCGAGTATAAAAAGCTTCTCCTGGACAGATTTTGAGGCAATTGAGCGAATAACGGAGAGGAATTGCGATCTGAAGAATGCTGTGAAGCTACATCGAACTTGCATCGACGATTCCACATCTTTGGAGACCAGAAGAGACTGAAGAATTCGCAGCGTGGCATCATCGAAGCTGAGAGAGAATTTTTCTTAGAGCTGGTTAGCGATCAAACAGAAAGAGGAGAAAATATAAGGAGAAAGGGAAGGAGGACCTTCCGGCACCGATTAAGGAGCGAAGGAGCGAGTGTTGCTCTTGTTCTTGTGCCATTTTTAGCGGGAGAGATTGGTGGTTAAAGCTGCGAGGTGCAAGGAAAGCTGCAGATACTGGAGAGGAAAATAAACGAGGAAAATAAATCGATGCTGAGAGTATTACTCCTCCTTGTATAGAACTCAATTGTTAAGTTAGTTTTGATCCTAAATATAAAACTCATTTATCATATTTATTAATTTTTTTTAAATTATTCCTATAGATACTTCCTTAATCATAATCAAATAAAAGAAAGATAGGGTATTAAGAAAGATGATTATAGTATTTTAGGAAAAACATGTTACATTTCTTATAATTAACTAACTTACTTAACTTCCTTAATCCAATCAAATTAGTTAAATGGGTCTTATATTAAGGACTGAAAGAATACTAAGTTAAAGTACCAACAGATAAATTTAGTGCCAAATATAAAATTTTAATCTATTTTATTTATTTATTTATTAAGAAAATTTTTATAATAATTATGCACGTTAAAAGTTTAATCAAATGATCATTTTAGTTAATACACATAATTATACTATTTAAAAAAAAACCTATTTATTACAAATAATTAATTTAATTAATTTTTTTAATTTACTTGAATTAATCAATTACCAATTAGGATAAGATGTAGTACTCCTCCGATCCTTAATATAAGACCCGTTTAACTAATTTGGTTAGATTAAGGAAATTAGGTAAGTTAGTTAATTATAAGAAAAGTGACGCATTTTTCCAAATACCATAATCATCTTTCTTAATACCCCATCTCCCTCTTCTACTTGATTATGGTTGAGAAAGTATCTATAAGGGTAATTTAGAGAAAATTGATAACAAAACTAACTCAAAAATTGAGCCCTATATTAAGGACCAGGGGAGTATATTATATGTATGTGTGTTTTTGATACAATTATTTTATACCTCTGTCAAATTTGGTTGGATGCACAACTTATTTAATACAATATTTGAACATTCAACTTTTTTTAAAAGAAAAATAATTCCTTTCTCCTAACCCGACCATTACCATTATTAGTGTTATACATACATACATACATATATATATATATATATATATATATATACACACACACACGTTACAATTCTGAAAGCTTCTTTTTTTTTGTTGTCTGCATAAGATTAGTTTTTCATACTGACATTTATAATTCATACAAACAAAAACGTGTGGAGTGAATTTATCCCCGTCCTTTTTTTTTTCATTTGCCAGATATCTAGTCGACATTAGGAATATACAAAATAATAAAATTTTAATTTAATTTCTTCTTTTTGGAATTTACATTAGAAACAGCTGAAAAGATTATTATTAAGGAACTGCGCGCAATTGCTCGGGTTGTTAACATGGGCAATATGCCTTAAGGATCACTTTTTCTGATTTTTTTTTTTTTCCATTTGGGGACTATTTTTCTACTAAACAAGAATCCATGGAAGCAATAAATTGAACAGAAGTCCCATTTGACATGAAACATTAAGAACGAGAGATAAGAATTAAAAGTAGAATTGCAAAGGTCCACTAGAAAAAATATTTTGGAATAGTATGGACCAGGTAACGAGTAGCAATTAGCGAATTCAATAGGAAGTTACCGAGCTTTCATTTAACAGTCTCTGAAGGCACCAACAAAACCCGGCACAGTTGGTAGATGACTGGGTCCCTTAAACATGATGTCTTGAGTTCGAACCAAGCCGTGTGCATGGAAAAGGCTTTGTTGGGAGAGGCAAAACCCACTTTAGTGATCTCTACACCTCGGGAGGATTAGTCTCTGGCTATTAGCTAGAGTATACCACCTAGTTATACCAAAAAGAAAAAAAAAGTCTCTGGAGGCACTTCCGGGTATTTGTTTTCCGTTCATTGTTGCATACAGATTTGAACTGCAGAACGTCGAATATCATCACTGCCTTAGAATGCACAAGAAGGTGGTATCTTTGAGTACCATAACGTTTGAACTCTCACAGATCTTGGACTTCGCCACGCCCAGCTCTCCTTATCTGTAGTTAATCCTTCAATCATTTGAGTCGTATAACGAAGATGGACACACACTCGTACAATTTTCCCATTCCTTCCCCTTCTTTACAATTCCATATTTGCTTATCGAAGAGCACTCGACATTAAAAGGTACCAAGTTATACAAAAGTTTAGC